ATTATAAGACATTGCAGTATAGTTATTTTTAAATTTCTCTTTACCACTATTTTACCCTCATCTCAAGCATATTATGCATTTTTACTTCTAATTCCAAGAGGAATTAAATAGAGGAACTAACCCAGGCTTGTGCCTCATTATTAAAACAGTAGCCCCTGCGTTACTGAAGCAGAGGTTTCACAATGGCTCCAGGTCCAGCCCCATCAAGCCTAGTCTAGGTTAAGGATACAAAGGAAAGAATACAAAGGAAACATTTAAATGTGAGTGTCTTTGGCAATATATTTATTTCTGTACGTCTAAATGAAGTATATAAAAATGCTTTTAAATTATTAATTTTTATTATCTCCTCAGCTCCTCTAATAGAACAGACAGTAAGCTCTGGAAAGAGTGGAATGAAATGTCCACTACTAACTAAATTTCTACAATTCCCTCTGAAAGGTAAAAGGCAGAGGGCAAAGAGAGTTTAACCTACCTCTCTCTTTGCAAAGAACAAAAAGGAATTCAGCAGCAATTTGCTTGACTCCAAGGTCAACATGTGTCATGAGGCGCACCAGCTTATTTCTCACAGTTGAGCCAACTTCAGGTCGATTTGTCACATCCCTCAATGGTGGTAAAACCTGATGGCACAAATGCAAAAACCATCATCAATTGAGGGTACTACAGTAAGTGAGGATGGTACAATGCAACTGGCCGGTTTTGTAATGTCTATTCGGATTAGTTTTGTAAGAGTAGAAAAAAAAATTTTTTTTAATAAATAAAGGTTAGCTTCCAAATAAAATAAAACAAAACCAGACAATGACAAAAAAACAGACCTATAATAGTTTCATGCCTGTAATGATGTTTCATTTGAACAGAAACATCTCTTCACTGTATACCACCATGCTATACTCAAATGCACTTCTGAGTTTTCATTCATCTCAGTACCCGGAATGCCTCAATTTGCCTCTATCGAATATGTTTTAAATTCTGGGTCAAGTTTGTCTTTCTTCCACGAAGACTTCCTTAATACTGAGTCATACTGTTTTTGCCTTAAGTCCTGTAGCCTTTTTCGTATAGGTTGAGTATTCCTTATCCAAAATGCCTGGGACCAGAAGTGTTTCAGATTTCGGATTGTTTCAGATTTTGGAATATTTGCATTATATACTTACCAGTTGAGCATCCCTAATCCAAAAATCAAAAATGCTCCAATGAGCATTTCCTTTGAGTGTCATGTCAGTGCTAAAAAAGTTTCAGATTTTGGATCATTTTGATTTCAGATTTTTGGGTTAGGGGTACTCAACCTGTATTTACTAAAAAAAAAAAAAAAAAAAAAGTCTGTACTGATGTTTTTCTAGTTGTTTAATTTTACAATAAAAAGTGTATTAATTATTGAGCATTTTGTATGTGCTATTTGCTATAATAGATGGTATATATACATTACTCATAATCATCACAGTAATCCTGCAAAGGAGGTAGTAACATCACCCTTGATCTCTGTTTCACAGACTGATCCTCAGAGGGCTTGTGGAACTTGCTTAGTTTGTCTGTTCATTTGATCACTCACCCACCCAGACACCTTGCTCCTGGTTCTCCTATGTCACTGGTTGCTTCATCTCAGTCCCTTTTGTCAATTCTCTTTTCTCTTTCTATCTTGTAAATGTTGGGATATCCAAGGATTGAGATCTTGCACAACTTTTCTTCATTATTTTCTCTCACTCTATTTGTGATCTCATCTAGTTTTATGACTTTTTATAGTCTCTGCAACCTGATGACTCCCTAAATTATATCTCTATGTTGATTTCTTCTCTGACCTCCAGACTTTAAAAAAAAAAAAAAAAAAATCACTGAAAAGGAATGTATTATAGGATTTTACAAATGTATTACAGGATTTTAAGCTATGGAAAGTGTAGCTTAAAATAATGCCAGAAATTATATTAAAATGTACTCACTTTCGTTCTTTTGGATTATGATTACCTATGATTATGATTATTACCTATCTAGAGAATATTCAACATAATATAATATTAAGTATGCTGCCACCACCTTAATTATAGTCTGATTACAGAGCAAATTAAAGTGTCATGAAGCCATCCTGCTAATCCTCAGCCTAGTACTTCTCAGACTGCAATGCACATTCCAAATACCTGTGGTTCTTATTAAAATGCAGATTCTGATTCAAGTAAGTCTTAGTAGGACCCATGATTCTGCATTTTTTAAATCCTCTTAAATTTGCATGTATACAATACTGTTACCTATAGGTACAAGGTTGTACAGCAAATCTCTAGAACTTAGTCATTTTATATAACTGAAATTTTATACCCATTGCCCCATCCTCCCTCTAGCCCCTGGTAAATGCTATTCTATTCTATGCTTCTGACCTCCAGACTTTTACAGATCTCTCAAATTTAGCATGTCCTAAACAGGACTCTTAATGTTCCCACCAAACCTGCTCTTCCTGTAGTTTTCCATCTCGTTAAATGGTAAGTCCGTTCTTCCAACTGCTTTAGTGCAAAAACCTTGGAAATATCCTTGACTCCTTTCTTTCATACCCCACATCCATCCATCAGCAAATTATGTCAGCTCTAGCTTTGTAATATGCCCATAATCCAACCACTTCTTATCACCTCCCCCAGTATTACCAAGTCCAAGCTACTAATATTTCTTATCTGGACTAATACCACAGCCTCTTAAGTGGTCCCTGCTTCCATCCTGGTCACTATTTACTCTCTACATAGCAGCTAGGATGGTCCTTTGAAAGTCAGATCCTGTCACTCCTCTCCTCAAAATCCTCCAGTTCCCATGGCTTCTTATCTCACACAGAGTAAAAGCCAAGGTCCTTACAACAACTCCCTTACAGCTGCAGTTCCCAACCCCCAGGCCATGGACCAGTATCAGTCCATGGCCGGTTAGGAACTGGGCCACACAGCAGGAGGTAAGCAGCCAGCAAAGCTTCATCTGTGTTTACAGCTGCTCCCCATGGCTCACATCACCACCTGAGCTCTGCCTCCTGTCAGATCAGCCAGGGCATTAGATTCTCATAGGAGCTCGAACCCTACTGTAAACTGCGCATGTAAGGAATCTAGGTTTGGGCTCCTTATGATAATCTAATGCCTAATGATGTGCGGTGGAGCTGAGGTGGTGATGCTAGCGCTGGAGAGTGGCTGCAAATACAGATTATCATTAGCAGAGAGGTTTGCAATAAATGTAATGTGCATGAATCATCATACCAAAACCAAGCTGCACTCTCCCACCCCCTACCCCATCCATGGAAAAATTATCTTCCATAAAACCATCCCTGGTACTAAAAACATTGGGGACTGATGCCTTACAGGGTTCCACATAATCTGTCTTTCTGCTACTTCTCTGACTTCATTTCTATTATTTTCCTTGCTTATGCTGTTCCAGCCACATGGACCTCCATGGAATTCCCTAAACATGCCAAGCAGTTTCCTGCCTCAGGTCTTTTGCATTTGCTTTTTTCTCTACCCAGAAACTCTTTTTCTAGAAACCTGCATGGCTCTCTCCCTTACTTCCTTCAGTCTCTATTCAAATGTCACTTATAGGAGACATTCCCTAAGTACCCTATATCACTAACCTTTAGCATTCTCTTTTTTACCATCCTAACATCTCCTTACTCTGCTATAATCTTCATCATAGTCCTTACCACCACCTGACACAGTATATATTTATATGTTTACTGTCTGCCTCCTTCCACAAAAGTTAGTTCCACTGGGGCAGGAATTTCTCTGTTTTGTTTACTGCTCTCTTCCCAGTGTCTAGCATATTATAGGTGTTCACTAAATATTCACTGATTGAAGGAAAAGTGAATTAATACAAGTAACTTTTTTTAAGTGCCTTCTATAAGCTAGGTACTGTGTCAGGAAATGAGTATAGATACAAAGTCAAATAATAATTTATTGTGCACCTACTACATACCAGACACTTTATATATGTATTATTTTATTTAATTCATTCAACTGACTTCCTTCCTTCCCTCTCTTTCTATATTGAATGCCAACCATGTAACAGGAGGTATTGGAGGCACTAGAGATACAGCTACAGATAAAAATGGAAACTAAATCTCAGAAAATGGAGTCATCTACCCAAAGTGTTTACAGAATCTACATTTCAGTATCTCTGGCTGGGTAGAGCACAATGCTAGGCACAAAGCAATTGCACAATAAATCCTTATTATTTGTCTGAGCCAACCATACTGAGTTTATTTTCCATTTCTAGAAGAATGAGACATGTAACAAGTAATTTCATGTATTATTTGTCTATAGTACCCAGGGTATAGAATCTATTAACAAAGGTTATCATGTAAAAATTTTGTTAGCTGTTTCAGGTTCCTTAAAATAAGTTTTTAATCAAATTTTGGTGTTATCGTTATATACCACTCCCTGACAAACTGCATGTGTAGATCCTCCCAAATACGACCCTCCAACATATTTTTTGATAAAAATTGTCCAGTTTCTCTTTCAAATGCACCAAATAGTCATTGCTTCTATAAGCCTCTCCAGACTAATATAACCTGGGTCAGTAATTTCTACCATTTGTTTTCTTTTCTACCTGCTCAAATACAGAATACATAAGACCAATTCACTACAGGGCACGATACTCGAATAACCATGGTTCTATTTACACTAGTATCAAAGTTAATCATCTGTTACTTTAAGTACTGCCTTTCTTGATCATCACGGTCTACAGTGCATCCACCTCAGAAGAAAAGTTGACTTCTGTATTATGCCTTGTATCTTTAGTTATCTTTTTATCTGTCATGTTTCCTCTCCTTACCTATACTGTAGTGTTTCTTGAAGACAGAGAGTGGGTCTCATAATCTTTTGTATCTGCACAATTCGTGGCCCAAGGCCCTCATATAAATAAGATGTTTAACGAGTAAGTTTTTTGGCTCTCCTGGTTAGAGACAGCAAAATCTAAACAGTTTAGCTGAATCTGGATCCCCTATGTTACACAGTATTTTCATTTATTATTCTTTACCAAGTCCTCCTAGTCAAAGGAGAATGTCTTAAAATAATCAAATGTGAAAATGGCCTTAATTAATTAATTAATCTTGCTTAAATGATTACTCATGCTTTTATGGTATCTCTCTTTTCTTTCAATAGATGTAAATCCTCAAAGATAAGAGTCCCTACATTCTAATCTCTCCTTATTAGTACTACTGGTGTATTCTATACATAGTAAGGTACTTACTAAATCTTGATCATAAATATAAAGGGGAAAAATGGACTTGGTTCGTTTATTTGGGGAAATTCTATATAGTGATAAATGAACAATGGGGTGTATCAATGGTATCAATGTGTTGAAACGATGGAAAAAGTGGGAAGAAATAGGTTAGGGGGATGGAAATCAAGATATTAGTTTGAAGTATGTTAAACTTAAGATACCTTAAATTTAAGTACACATCCAAGGGAAAGAGATGAGTAGGCAGTTCATTATATAAGTCAGGTGCGTGGGTGACAGGTCAGGCCTAGAGATACAAATTTGAGAGTCATCAGAATGTAGACGGTTTTCAAAACTACGACTCCTGAATGATATCACCAGGGAGTGGAGATGGAGACCAACAATGCCTTGGGGCACTCAACCATTTACGGTTTGGAAGAGAAAGAAAATCAACCAAGAAAAAGTGCTCTATTGTGTCCTAGAAACCATGTGAAGAAACTATTTCAAGGAGTAGGGAATACTTACTTCAAATGCTACTTGAGGAATTAAAAAAAGGAGATGTGAGAATGATTAGCTTTGGCAATATACAGTTGGTAACTTTGATAAACACCTTTGCAGTGGGGTGGAAAGCATGAATGCCTAATTATAAGGGGTTCAGGAGAGACTCCAAGATGAGAAAGGGCCAGGCACAGTGGCTCACACCTGTAATCCCAGCACTTTGGGAGGCCAAGGTGAGAGAATTGTTTGAGGCCAGGAATTTGAGACCAGCCTGGCAACGTCGTAAGACCTTGTCTTTACAAAATATAAAGAAAATTAGCTGAGCATGATGGTGCGTGCCTGTAGTCCCAGCTACTCAGGAGGCTGAGATGGGAGAATCACTTAAGCGCTGGCATTCAAGGCTGTTGTGAGCTATGATTGTGCCACTGCATTCCAGCCTGGGTGACAGAGTGAGATGCTGTCTCTTTAAAAAAATAAAAAGTAAAAAGAATAGAATGAGTATAGAAAATTCTTCTGAGGAACACTGCATGAAGAGGAGCAGAGAAATGGAAGGCAGCTTGAGAAAGGGGATTAAGGTAAAGTTTTATTTTTTTTTTTAAGATGGAAGATGTATTTGGGTGCTGACAGAAATGATCCAGTCCATTAAAAAAGATGATTAGCAACAAATACTCATATGTACCCCATAGATACGTAAAAATATTAGGTGTCAATAAAAAATACTAAAGTGATTAATATTAGAAGAGAGAGGGGAAATAAAGCTGGGCAAAGTTCATGAGCAGGTGAGAGGAAAAGCGATCCAGGACAAAGGCTGGCCATAGACACAAGTAGGATAATTCATCCATGTGATAGAGGGGGACATAAAGGACATGGCAGTACAGATGCGGACGGCAGATGTAGCGGTGGAAAGATAAAACATTTTTTCTTGATTTCTTGATGAAATAGAAAACAAGGTCAACAAATAGGAATGAGAAGAGGGGAGTAAGCATTGGAAGTCTGAAGAAAAAGGAATTATATAATAGTCATCTTGGAATGTACTAGGGAACCACTTGGGGTTGGTGGTCTTAAATTTAATGTAAACTAGTCAATATGGTTGTGTTAATTTCTCTTACCATGTTCTAGTGCCCAGTGGAGGCCCAGTGTAGGCAGAAGGCTGGATTTAACAACTTTGTGGGCTTCTGCCACATGAGTATGACTGAGGGAGAGCATGAGGTGCTAAAGATGCAATTATAATAATGAACCACAGGTGGGATCCAGCCCAGGTAAGGAGAGAAGACAAGACAGTGAAAAGAATAGTGAAAAAAATGATAGACTAGCAATCCTCATGAAGATGAAAGAATGTTGGACTGAGGGTACTAAGAGAAAGTGCTTGAAATTGTGATTTTAGAGGTCAGTTTAGGTTACTGTTATTGTCAAAGTCTTAGAGTTTAAGATATAATCCAAAAGTTTAAAAATCATCTCAGATTTTTTTTCTTTCCTTCTCAACCCATGTCCCAATCTATCAGCAAGTTCTGTGAGCTCTACTTTTAAAACATATCCCAAAGTATCAACTTTTATTAATCCATTCATGTATTGATGGGCAGTTGGGTTGTTTCCTCATCTTTGCAACTGTGAATTGTGCTGCTATAAACATTCAAGTGCAGATGTCTTTTTTATAGAATGTCTTTTTTTCCTTTGGGTACATGCCCAGGAATGGCATTGCTGGATCGAATGGTAGTTCTACTTGTAACTCTTTGAGGTATCTCCATATTACTTTCCACAGAGGTTGTACTAGTTTGCAGTCCCACCAGCAGTGTATGAGTGTTCCTATCTCTCTGCATCCATGCCAGCATTTGTTGTTTTGGGACTTTTTGATAAAAGCTTCTTGTTTTTTCTTAAGCACACCAAAGCATCTTCTCATCTCAGGGATTTTGAACTTGTCCTCTCTGGTATATTCCTCTTCCAAATATTCTCAGAGATACTCTTCTTACTTCTCTAGCTTGCTGTTCAAACATCGTCTCCTCAGAGAGGCTCTCCCTTATCCCCTTTAAGTTTGTCCTTTTTCTTCCTCTGCTTTACCTTTCTTCAGAACACTTATCACTACCTGTCATTATATATTTGTTTATTGTTGTCTCCCCTCTATGAGGTAAACCTCCACAAGGGCAAAGACTTTATCTGTGGTTTAATGTTCAGAACACAGCACATAGTAGATCTTAATAAACATTTGTTGAATAAAGGAATGAATGACTCAAAAAATACACAATCATTCATTTCTTGGTTAGGAAAATTTCAAAGATTAAAACTTAACTTTTCTGAGTTTCTGATTTTCTGAAAGAAAACCATATGAGAAAGAAAATTCAATCCATTAATTCTATATTATTAGAATAAAAAAACACACAAGATTAACTCTGAGATGTAATATGCATAAACAGTTACCTGATCTTTGAGAAATTTTCTGATGTTCCGATGGGCTCGGGAACATTCTGTTAATAAGCTGAGAACTGGTGTTAGACCCTCTCTATAGCTGCTTCCCTGTAAAGAAAACCATACATGCTATATTAGTTTAGTTTCTCAAAGTATTATTTTCCTCCACATAACTGAGCATATTAATACCTTTTTTGAGGGCGGGAGGCATGTTACCAAAGCTTATAAAGTATTTTAAAAATTATTTCCCCAGCAATATTTCCATTTTATCAGCTATCTTCATGCTTACTAATGCTTATTTTTGTCATTCCTGGACTTTATTACATTTTCTAAGGTTCCCACTGACTTAGCCAATGGGCTTAAATGAGGCAAAGATTTGGTGATCCATGTATGCTACCTTTAATATAGTTACCTGACAAAGTGACTGACGGACCAGAGAAAATAAACAGCTTACAACACATGGAAAACTGAAAATATCTTTTTTGGGGGGAAGATGTCTTTTAGGTATTATGAAAAGTATCAAGTTTTGGGGGAGATAATTTTTACTTCTAAGATTTCAAAATACCTACATGGAACAGTAATTAATTTTTCCTTTGCTGTCAGGCACTCGTCACAATTTTGGTGTTGCATGCATACAATTTTCAGCATTAAACAAATAAATTCGCCGGGTTTCAGCAATTTATCATATATTGTAATAAAATGCTTCCCAAAGTACAATTATGCAACATGTCAGTTATAAAAAAAAGGCTTAGATTTAAAAATCATGCTCAGTGGTATGTGTTTGTATGTATGGCACATTTACATTCTTTGAAAGCATCTTCCCAAGGCTTCCATTTTATCAGCCTTACCTTGTCTATTCTCTTCTCCATAAAATTGAGTAAAACGTGAATGGCCTCCATATTCATACCATTGTATACCATGGTATTGTTTTGCAAAACTGTTTCTTTTTCAGCTGTTTCATCACTGGGCAGTTCATCTAGAGTCGTTGCCTCTTGGGCTGTTTCTTCATGGGTTAATGGACAAATTAAAACATCCAAACAAGAGACCGGAACATTGCTTAAAAGGTTGACTGCATTGCTGAAAAGCAATTTAAAGATACAATATTTTAATTTGATTGAATAGTCCTTTAAAATGCAAACATAATAAGAAGTTCAGAAGTGACTTTTAGGAGTCAATTAAAATTTTTCTTTTTCAAAATGAGCCATTAATATTACTTGGTACTTCCTAAGAGAAAATAAAGAATTGCTTCAAATAACACATATGACAAATTATAAAAACAGATGTTAAATGGACATAATCACATGATGTCATGTCACTTTCTGAAATGCTAAAATAGGAATTAGTGAGCTTTAATGCTAGTTCTTTAATTTTATTATGATAACAATGTTAGCTTTGCATTTTTTCTCCTGGGGTCTTAAATCCTTTTGTGGATCCACTGGTGTTTTATTATTCCTTAGATTACAACATAAAGCATTTGAGAAGCACTGCATATAAGCAGCTTATCACAGAGGCAACAACATTAAAAACCAAATATTGTAGGATTAAGTTTTGCTTTTTCTAGATGTAGAAAATACAATTTTGAATCATCCCATTTTTTTAAGACATTTGCAGGAAAAGGGAAATGGAGCTTTTTTTCTCTCTCTCATTAAATCTTTTAAAATGAAGTCCACAAAGCTATTTCTAATCTCTATCTCCTAGGACTTTCTGCTGTGTATTGATGAACACATAAGCCTGGGATGCACACCAGTAGGGGGAACCCAAACCTTGTATTTTTGGCATTCCCTAAAAACCTTGTTCTGTTGTTCCGTGTACAAAAGATTAAAATCACACTAACAATTTAAAAATTAGACATGTTCTCAATGAAAATATTTTTCTCCATGCATTATTTCATATTCTTTCATCTAAAAGAAGAGGTAGTGTTCTATGCTAACTGGATCTTATACACTTGTGCCTCAGAACTTCCTGATAAACAATGGAAAGACAGGATTACATTTCCTAGTGACAAGAAGCAAATCTAAAAATAACCACATTCTAACTAAAAATAAACTCTTGCAAACGCAATTTAAAAGTCTATCCACTTGGAAACCAAATTCAGGGCTTAATTTATCTAATGCTATCTTAATTTAGGCCACAGTAGTTTCTTTTAATTTAGATTATAGTGACACCCTAAAAAATAAAGCAAAAGAAACAGAAAAACAAAAAATAAAATACAAAGATTTTTCTCCCCTTTAGCCTGAAGTGTGGCTCCATTTGCCCAAGAATGAATATTTCCTTTCTTTCTTTTTATATTTTGAAAAATAAAAACTGCTAAGAATCAATTTAAAAGTTAGACAATGAAGAACAATGAGTGGTAATATATAAGGCATCAAAAAAATATGAACCAAGAGCAAAAAATAACAAGTCTTATGAATAAATAGTTCCTAGTAAAATAAAAGTTATTTGGTTGTTTTCGCTAAAACTACTGTTAAACCTGTTAAAACTACTGATTAACTACTGTTAAACCAACTCTCAAAAGTGGCTGAAATACAATGCTTTTCCCACAAGCTTTCTGTTTAAAATTTTTGCAAACATCTGTAGCTTCTTATCTATAGTTCAAACTGTTTCGCTTCTGATTTAAGCATTTGGAAATTGTTAAATACCATAGTTTCATTGGGGATAAAAGAGGAAAAAAAAAGAATTACTTTAGAATTACTTTTTAAAACAGTACAAGCCATTCTAAAATGTTAGAATTTTTTCCTAAACATAAGGCAATAGGTTCAGAAGTCCATTAATAGTATGATTCTCTGAATCTACCACAGAGATGAGACTGAAAAGTTTAAGATGGGTCATTTCATTACAAAGGAATGTTTCCCCTTCACATTCATTTAATGTAAGCAGTTTCCAGGAATTCAGTAAATTTAAGAAACTAAATGCAGAGTTTGATTCAACAAATATTTGGAGGTTTTAGGCTTTTCAAGAAAAGTTCCCATTTTCTCATTTCTTATTAAACAACTGGGCTCCCAAACAACCACAAAATTAATTTTCTGGCTCACTGTGTTTGAACTATTCTTTTTAAGTAAGGAAGGCCAGCTTTTTGAGCTCTGTCACTTCTCTGACAGTTTTATTTGTGGTAGAAGAGTGTATGAAATTCTCCAGCTACCAGGAAGTCAGTGACTATGCACAGATCTGCACAATGGTGTTTGCATTCCTACTCCAGGGGGTAGAAATACTGTGTATATTACTCTCCCCTTTTCAGCTTCCTAGAGATCATTAATCACTGGGACATGACATCCTCCTACTCATGCTCCCAGCCCCCTCCTGATATGCAGATTCAAAAGCAAGGCCTATTTAGAGCTCCTTTAATGCCCTGATTAAAGCCTTGTTAGTTGTACAAGAGGGAAGGCAATCTTAAATATAGTCCTCTATCAACTGCTGGACTAAACATAATTTAATATCAAATGACACTGACAAGCATGATAATGGCACATGTAGATCTATAGCTGTTAACAAATCTTCCTGGTCAAATGTGTCTTCTTTATATTTGGAGCTCACGTATATTTTTTTCAAGACTAGAAAGTATATTTAAATGAACCTTAAGATCTCCAAAAGATTTTCCTTTTGCCCTCTTTGTATATTTTTTAAAATATCTTTTCTTTTGTGGTAAGAGCACTTAATATAAGTTCTACCCCCTTAGCAAATTTTAAGTATACAATATAGTATTGCTACCTATAGACTCTATGTTGATCCTGTATCCTTTGACCAACACCTCCCCAATTGCCCCTCCCTCCAGCCCCAGATAATCACTTTTCTACTATCTGGTTCTATGGGATTCACTATTTTAGATTCTTCATGCATGGCCAGGCATGGTGGCTCATGCCTGTAATCCTAGCACTTCAGGAGGCCAAAGAGGATCACTTGAAGCCAGGAGGTCGAGACCAGCCTGGGCAACATAGTGAAACCCTGTCTCAACAAAAAATAAAAAAATTAGCCAGGCATAGTGGTGTGTGCCTGTAGTCCTAGCTATTCAGGAGGCTGAAGCAGGAGGACCACTTGAACCCAGGAGTTAGAGACTACAGTGAGCTATAATTGTGCCACTGCACTCCAGCCTGGGCAAAAGAGTGAAATCCCATTTCCAAAAAAAAAAAAAAAAAAAAAAGATTCCTCATAAAAGTGGGATCATATACTATTTATCCCTCTGTGTCTATTTTCTTTCACTTATCACAATGTCTTCCAGATCCATCCATGTTGTAAGGAAATCCAAGTGGCAGGATTTCCTTCTTTTTAAAGGATGAATAGTATTCCATTCTGTGTGTGTGTGTGTGTGTGTGTGTGTACCATATTTTCTTTATCCATTCAATCACTGACAGACATTTAGGTGGTTTCTATCTCTTGGCTATTGTGAATAGTGCTATAATGAACATGGGAGTGCAGATAGCTCTTCAAGATAGTGATTTTATTTCCTTTGGCTATACATCCAGAAGGGGGATTGCAGGATCAAATGGTAATCCTATTTTTCCTTTTGAAGAAAGCTCCATACTGATTTCCACAATGGGTGAACTAATTTACATTCCCATCAACAGTATACAAAGATTCCCTTTCTCCACATCCTCACCAACACTTGTTATCTTTTTTTTTATAACAGCCATTCTAACATGTGTAAAGTGACATCTTTTTTTTTTTTTTTGAGACAGAGTCTTGTGTTGTCACCTGGGCTAGAGTGCCATGGCGTAAGCCTAGCTCACAGCAACCTCAAACTCCTGGGCCCAAGCGATCCTCCTTCCTCAGACTCCCGAGTAGCTGGGACTACAGGCGTACACCACAACACCTGGCGGGATCTCGCTCTTCCTCAGGCTGGTCTCAAACTCCTGACCTCAAACGATCCTCCCACCTCGACCTCCCAGAGTGCTAGGATTACAGGTGTGAGCCATTATAGGTGTGGGCCTGGCCTGAAGTGACATCTTATTGTGGTTTTGATTTGTATTTCTCTGATGATTAGTGATGTTGAACACCTTTGTATACACCTTTTGTCCACCTGTACGTCTTCGTTGGAGAAAATGTCTATTCAGGTCCTTTGCCCATTTTTCAATCAGTTAGTTTTTTTTTTTTTTTTTTTTTTTTTTTTTTTTTTTTTTTTTTTTTTTTTTTGCTATTAAGAGTTCCTTACATATTTTGGATATTAATTCCTTACCAGATATGTGGTTTGAAAATATTTTCTCCCATTTCATGGGTTGCCTTTTCATTTTGTTGACTGAGTCTCCTTTGCTGTGCGAAAGTGTTTTAGTTTGATGTAATCCTACTTGTCTATTTTTGTTTTTGTTGTTTGTGCTTTTGGTATCAACCCCAAGAAATTATTGCCAAGACCAACATCTACGAGCTTTTTCTGAGTTTTCTTCTAAGAGTTTTACCGTTTCAGGTTTTACATTCAAGTCTTTAATCCATTTTGAGTTGATTTTTATGTATGACGTGAGATAAGGGTTCAATTTCATTCCTTTACATGTGGAAATCCAGTTTCCCAACACCATTTACTGTGGAGACTATTCTTTCCCCCTTGTGTATTCTTGGCACCCTTGTTGAGGATCAGTTGAGTGTATATACATGGGCTTATTTCTGGGCTCTCTATTCTGTCCCACTGGTCTATATGTCTGTTTTTATGCCAATATCATGTTGTTATGATTATTAGAGCATTCTAGTATATTAAGAAATCAGGTGGTATGATACCCCTAACTTTGTTCTTGCTCAAAACTACTTTGGCTATTCAGGGTCTTTTATGGTCCCATTCCCCCCTGAAAGAAAGGAAGGAAGGAATGAAGGAAGGAAGGAATGAAGGAAGGAAGGCTGGGAGGGAGAGAGGAAGGAATGGAAGGAGATTTTTTGAGGTAATGGAAAAGTTCACAGCCTTGATTATGGTGATGTCTCACAGGCATATACTTAAAATTCCAAATTCATCAAGTTGCATAGGTTAACTATGTACAGTTTTCTGCAGAGCAATCATTTCTCATGGTGTTAGAATATTAAATTAATCTATCAGCAGATCTATAGTATTATGATATGTAGTATTAAACCTGAAACTACCTGAAATGACTCAGGCAATGGAAAAA